CTCTGAGGAAGCCAGGGCTCAATAAGCAGATTTACAGCATTTGTGTTACTTCATGCATCACCCTGGCCTGGGATTTTCCTGCTCTGAAAGCAGAGACAGGGACCTACGTGAAGGGTGGGTTGACATGGATAATGTCTGATGTACATAGCACGTTAATCCAAATATCATAACTTGAACCAGCTCAAGAGACTGCCATTTTCTGCTACATCTCATCAGGTGAGTGCATATAAATCCATTATTGCCCTCCTGCTCCTTAGGAAATGGGAGGACAGGAACCAAGACAAAACCCATTCCTATGTTCTCTGCAGCTTCCAACTCCAGGGTGAGAGGTACACAAGGGTGGCAGTGTGTGAGCCACGTGAGTTGCTTGTAATTGTGGCTCCTTCTCTTATGTGATAGTGTGGCTCCAGCTATAAACTAATCATTCCTGCCTCAGGGCACTGTCTCCTGGATAAAGCAGGTGTGTCCTGGTGCACTGAGCTGGGAAGGGAGGTCAGGAACTGAGGGATGGATGCCAAGAAGCAGGAACCCTTCTGTGGTGGAGGGAGAGACGTGCACACCCTCTTTTGTCTGCCTCCTGTATAAGCACTGTGGGCCAGCCCCTGCACTCAGAACGGCAGAGCCATAGGATATGGACCTGATGAGACTCCCAGGTAGTGCTGGGATTCTCCACACACCACTTCAGTGGGGTTTGTGTGTCCCAGAAGTCACAATGTGCTGTAATGGATGGGTGGGCACCTGGGAAACATGACTGTGTGCTCACTTACTGGAAATAGGCGCTGGTGACCGCTTGAAAAAAAGCAAAATCAAGCCTGTGGTAATGGCTGAGGATTTCTGACCTTTGCTCTAACATTTCAAATTTGTTTTTATTGCTTCTAATTGGCCTTGCTTTGGAGCATGCACATTATCTAACTGTCAGGGCACTGGCTGTCATTATCTGTTGGGTCATTTGGTTTGTGTTCTTTACGATTGAAACTTGTCAGGCATTCCCAGAAAATACTGCGCTCCCCTTGCAGTGTCAAGCATGGTGCTGGTTAATTGTGCATCCCTGAGAGTGAAGCATTGGGACTGATCAGACACTGATTGTTTAGCTGTGATGGATGCAATGGAAACAGGTCTCCTCTGTATGGAGGGGAAAGTGTAAAAATTAGATCAGCAGCAACATGATGGCAGCCAGATTTCTTCATTTCAGGGATCAGAGGTTACCCATTTTCCAGCCTTGATGACTCATTTTTGATCTCACTCACATAGCTTAGATAACTTTATTTTTACCTCCCTTTGCAGTTTAAATTCTCTTCTATTTTGACTTTCTTTAATACACCAGCTGCAAAGTCACTAGTTCAAATCTCCCCACCTCGCCTTGCTTCATGAGATAGAAACAAAAGTCAAGAAATGTGTGTGTGAAAGAGCTCCAAATGCCACAGCAGCACAAATGTGCCTCCACTGGTGGCTCTGTACACCTCAACTCATCCAAAACATCAGCCAGATTTTAAGTCTGCTAATTTATTTTAAGGCACTTAAGATTTGCTAACAATTAAAAATCCAGGTATAGTTATTTTGGATGTGAACCTGTACACTACATTCAGAGCAGGTGCATCCAGGGCTTGTCCTCCTGTAGATGGGCTGGGAGAGCTACAGGCAGCAATAGCAACGTCCCTAATTCTGCAGAGTAAAACCGAGCTTTGCTGGGAACATCAGGCTGTTAGACCTCAGTGTGAATTATGCATCTGCTGTATTTAGATAGAAGCAATTTTCCTGTTGAAATCAGAGGCTGGCATTTTTTTTTCCCATGGGGTTCTGTAACTCAAAATTGTGTTGAGATCAAGCATGTAGCAGAGGCTTTTTTAGCTGTAAAGGTGAATGTATTCAGATTATTCAAGTGGTGATTTTTTGGATGTACAATTAGTTGAGTGAGAGATGTGGTATAAATTTGGTATTGTAATTGCTATGCCTCTGAGATTTCAATTTGAGAAACAGTTTGCATGGCTGCAAGATTAACTGTTGTCTGTGCGATGAACATGTAGCAGAGCTGTGGTTTGTGATTGTGACTGTCAATTGGCTGTATGTCCAAAAAAAACACTTTGTCACAAGTACCTGATATGAACCGAGTGGTTGATTCTCATGGTGCTTCAGTTCAGTTCAGGCTGAAAAAGGCCAGTGTCTAAAAGTCTCATCTGCAAGTGCTGTTGGCATGACAGGGTTTCCTTTTCCCGTGTTAACCAAATGAGGAAAAAGGAAGTTTAAGACCCATTTTTATCCTCTTTGCATATTTTGCATTATATTGCTTCCTTCACTTGCACAGAGGAGCGTGGCAGTGACACTCAGCAGTGCTGCTCCAGTGACTGGAGTGGGTGCAGAGAAATGGGGGTCTGCATGGAAGCCTGGCCAGGAGATGAGCCCTGCCTGCCCATCCAGTGCTGGCTGTGCCCTGGGAGCGGGCAGGAAGGCTGTCAGCAGTGACATGGGCAGTGCTGATGCAGCCCCAGGGCAAGGGATGGGCTGCCTGACTGCTTTTCTGATGTTTTTCATGAGTCTCCATTTGGTTCACAGCTGCTGCCGTGTTTGGGTCTCCAGTGTTGTCTAGGAACACGTCAATGTAATTATACACAGAACCAGAGAAACTGCTTGTTCTCACTTAACTGTGCCTTTCAGGTCTCCCTCCCAGGGTCCTCATTTATTTATTTTTGTCTCAATGTTTATCTCTTCAAAATACCACTCTGCCTTAGGTTGGTGATTGAAGTGTAGAGATGCAGTAAATGCTGAACTGTGGCAGCTGTGACAGCAGGAAGGAGGGGAGGGCTGGTGGAGGTAAAGCCCTCTAAGCCCTGGGCATTAGCAACTACATTATTACAATTTTTTTTAAAAAGTTTATTAAAACATCCTTTTGCAAATAAAAGCAGAGGCACTGGAAAACACACGCTTGTGTGGTGAGGAAGGCAGGTTTCTCTGTGTCACTACAGAGAAGCCCAATTCCTTGGGGTGAGTCAGGGTGCAGGGATCAAGAAAACTGGGGTTTCATCAGCTCTTTTCAGTTCTCCCCAGGTCTGCTGTGTGGCCTTTGGCAGGTCAGTTCACATCTGACGTGTGACATGGATGTGTGACAGACAGCTCCTCTCAGTGCTTGAGTCTCAGTAGGGTTTGGTACAGCACCAGCCTGCCCAGCGTCAGCAGCTGCCCTGGGGAATACAAATAACTGACCTAAGAGGGAGCAGACTGAGAGCTCAAAGAGCATATCCAGCACAAGGGGAGGACTTTCTTATTTGTGTCCTGTCACAGCAGGGAAAATGAACAGAGTTGGCAAGGCATGGCTGAGGGGGCCAAGAGCTGCCTGAAGGGTCACTGGAGCCCCTTGGTTGGTGTGAGCAACACTGACAGCACAGTTTGATTACCTTCCTTGGGATGGGAATGGATAGTTGGGTTTTGCTGCTTGTACAAAGGAGAAGCTGTCTGAAGATGTATCTGCAGGGGATGGTGATGGCTGCTCAGAGATGGTGCTGCTCTGGGGTGAGGGTGGAGGGACCCCCCACTCTCCACTGGAATTCCCAAGGCATGCTTATAGGACAGCCAAAGATGGTTCCTTTGGCTCCTGGTCCTGGTGTTTGTCTCAGAGACAGCTTTTCAGCCCCACCGAGAGCCACCAGTGCTGGCAGGGGCTGCGAAGTGAAGGTCCCTGCTCTGGGACAGCCTGGTGCTGGCTGAGCCTCCCTGAACGAGGGGTGGTGCTGCAGGACCCACACTCTCTGCAGTTCAGCCTCTCATCAAGGAAGCCTCTGGACACAATGAATTGTGACCCAGTTTCCCCAGGCCTGGCTCTGCCCAGACAGACCAGGGCTGAGGCTGTCTGGTCACTTGTGCCCATCTTGCTGTGACCAGTGGGTCAGGACCCAGAGGGAGGAGGGGCAGTGAGAGTGGTGGGCTGTGAGATGGAGGATTTTAATTACAACCTCTAAGCAAAAAGGGTCTATAAGTAAATAGAACAGAAATGTTAAAGAATTAACTGATAATAGAGATATACTTTTCCTTAAAGTAATGAAAATCACGCACAGTGTAAATATACACACAGAGTGTTTTGTCTGGGAAACAAGTAGTGAGACTTAGTTCCTTATCAGGAACTGAAGTGTTACAAAGCGAGTCTTTCCACCAGATAAGCTGTGGGAAGCTGGGGAGCTGGTTCTGTGGTGCTGGGCTGTGAAAAGCTCAGTTCTTACCCTGTGAGCTCCTGGGGCATCACTGCAAAAAGTACTTTGTATTTATCACAACCCTACTCCTTTGGAGGCCAGTTAAAAAACTCACACAGCTCTGCTGGGGCTGCAGCCTGAAAGGGGCACTGGAAACTCCCAACTTTACTGACAACTGGAATTTGGCATGAGTGCTAGGTAATTCTGGAGTCAGATAATTGGAGTTAAGGGCAGTGAAACAGCAGTATCACATCTTTGTGGGTTCTTTGCAGGAACTGGTCTGGATGCTGGAAGCTCTGGCATCACCTGCTGGGTGTTCCCTGGCCACACAATCAGAGTGTGTCCCCAAAGACTGAGCCAGCTGTGAACACACCTGGCAGTGGGGGCAATCCAGCTGTGAGCAGATGTGTGAACCCAGCCATCCTGTGAATGGTGCATGCCCAGAAGGAAATACTCAAAGTGAGAGGAGAGCTGTTCATGAGCAGAAATGAAGGGAAATATTTCAGGTGCACAGGAACCTTGGTAGGAGAAAACAGTGGGGAGTACTTCACCCAAAGAGAACAAATGGGACCCTTTCTCTTGGAGAGCTCAGAGCTACCACAAAGCCCTTGAAGCCTCCTGGAAGGACTAACCCTGCTCTGGCCAGAAAGGGATGGGACCAGCTGGTCTTTAACCACCTCTAATTTGTCTCGAGCTGCCAAAGCCTTCCAAAGCTGCGAGACCTCACGCGTGGCTCCTCAGAGCGCACCCCGCACACGCTCACCCGCTGCCGGAGCCCCGCAGTGTCTGATACCACCTGTCTTCTCTCTCTTCCTTTGGCAGGAAGGACAACGTGCCACACTATAAATGCCCTGCCCAGCGGGGCCCAGGGAACAGCCAGGCTGGAGGCAAAGCCGGGAAGAGGAGCCAGGCGCAGCTGAAGGACCTGTCTCTCTCCACGCGCTGAGGAGAGGGGACAGGAGAGGAGAGGAGAGCTGTAGGGCAATGCGGAGCAACACGTCGCAGGCAGGAATCAATGATGTTTCTCTTTTTTTTTCCCCCCCAGACAAATATTTCTAAGATAACAAATAGTCCAAGGAGCAAAGAGGGAGAGGGAAATTAGCTAGAAATTTTACTATTGATTCTTTTTTATTTATAGATGGTGAATCAATTTCAGGGCTTTTTTTTTTTTTCTTATCTGTTGGTGGGGTGGGGGAAAAAAAAAGAGTGAACTGATAGATTTGCAGAAATCATTTGTGGTGGCTGAAAAGCTATTTGCTAAAATGAGAAAGCCTCTCCTTCCTCCCCCAGTCCCCTTCTCTCTCTTTAAAGGGGTAATCCATACAATGAGCTAACGAGGGAGTTCTGGGTCCTCTACTGCACCATGTGATGTCTCCCCTTTTAGTGTCAGGCTCAGAAGCCCTTATGCCTACTGCATGTGCTAGTCCTGTTAGCTTGCATTAAGAGAGCCTGATAAATAGCTTCTGGGAGCCAGGCAGGTGCTCCTCAGTGTGCAGTTTATCATCCACTGCATGGCTGGGCTTTCCACTCTTCTATCAGATCATTTGAGGAGAGGAGTCATATGAGGAATGGGGCTGTCGGGCTGCAAGCATGACCCTTGCTGCAAGGCCTGTCCAACAGGCAGGGACAGTGGTCCTCCATCAAAAGCTGTTTGGGGCCTAGAAAACCAGGCTTGCCAACATGCAATGCATGACTGAGGCAGTGAGGAGTGGTGCTGAAAGGGGTGAACAAATAGTGTTGTGTAAGAAACCCCAAGTGAAACCTCAGCACCACCCCAGGACACGGACAGCATGCTGCAGTCTTGTCTCCTGCAATGTGGAGCTCTCTGAAACATCCAAGCTTGATTCTCAAACTGGAGGCAAAAAAAGGGTGGCCCAGAGTCTGAATGTCTCCCAGGGGATGGAAAGGGAGAATGCACTCAGAAGTGCTTCTCAACCCATCAAAAGCTTTGGGAAGCAGCTTCTCGTCAGTCTTCTGCCAGGAGCTGGGCTGGAATGGTAGCTTGAGGGAGAGAAGGTGCCAAGACACAGTAGGAAAGAGAGGGAAAAGATGAATGAGACTGAGGGTGAAAAAAGATGAATGAAACATGACTGAATGAGCTCCTCCTGGTGTGGGGTGGCCCTGAAGAAGTACTAGCCCCAGACACCGTCCTCTAGTAAAAGAAATGTGTTGGTTGTCCCTCCTTCTTTCCCAGGACAGAAATGCCATGATCTAGGAACAGAGTCAGGTGAGCTGGGTCCCACATCCCAGTGGGATGGGCAGCCACTGACACATGGTTTCCATCCAGTTTGTATTACTGCAGCCAGGAAGAATGAGCAGGTATGAGTAAGGACAAAAGCTTGGCTCTGGCATGCCTCTGAAGAAGGACAAGCTACTCAGATCTGCCAAAACTTGAGCTGAGTGCATCTGTGCATTAGCCATCCATTACCTAGGCTTTCTTCAGTTGTTCTCTGACAAAGGGAACTTGCTTGAAAGCAAGGAGGTATCCTGCTGGAAGGAAAAATGATTTAAAACACCAAGCAAACCTGTTATTGTCCATATTTCAAGGTGAGAGGGTTAAACTGTGTACATTTTTGGGCAGAATAAAATGCCTTCATATGATGAATTCCAAGGCATCCAAAAGGCACAGTGCTGGCTCTGTCTCCAAAAGCAGAGTAATGAATAGCAGTGACAGTGTGATAATTAAAATGACCTCTTGGAGATATGGATTAGAAGGTACGCAGAGGGGGGATAAGTTCTCCTTTGAATTAATCTAGTGCTAATTTATGACTATCATTGGTTTTTATAGGGTTTTAGTGGAAGACTTTCAAAGTTGGTTTACTGGAGTTAAAATGTTCTCTCCCATGTTCATTGCAAAAACTCTTGCAAAATTCCTTGTTATTTATTTTTGGATGTTTCTATATATGCATACATATATATATATATAATGAGAGAGTTTCAATATTTGCTTAGCTGCTAAAAAGCCTACTCTAGAAATATGAATAAAGTGATAAAAGCAGCTGTGGAACGAGTGTGTTGTTTCATTTGCATTTCTTCCTCCTCACAGGCTCCCAGATCACTTCAACCATGATTCTGGGAAGCTCTTGTGCTGCCCAGCTATCGGCTGTCAGAGGCTCCCTCTATCAGACTTGTAAAAGTCAGTCTTTTAAGTTTAGATTTAATAACTGGATTTTCCTGAAAATCACTGTCTCCATTTCTCACTTGTCTTGTGCACAGGTATCTGCCCCACAGCCTGGAATCTGTGGGTCTTTGGACAGACCTAAAGTGGATTGCTCATCTCAGCCAGAGATGCTGCATTTCTGCTGAGATATCCCAACCTTTCAGTGGCACAGAGAGCACAGATTGGAGACAGTTACCCATATGGGGAATGATGACATCCCATTTGTCAAGTCCCATGGTGCTAACCTTCTTCCCATCCTCTCCACCTGCCTAGCAATGCTGTAACATCCAAACACAAGGTTATCTGCCAAGAGCATCTGCCTTGCTCTTCAGCTGGGCAGCACGCCTGTCCTGGAACCCATCCTCCCCATCTTCGTTCCAGAATGTCATGTTCAAACTCTTTGCTCTTGCCTCCCTTTTCATTCCTCTTTCAGTTTGTTTCTGGCACCTTCTGGCTGAGCCACAGTTGCCCCTACCCAGTTTTTCCATGCTGAGATGCTGATCACGTCTCCTCTGAACCCCATAGGCAGAGCTGACTTTATGGTGCTTTCCTCTGAGACCCACAGCTGCTTTCAGGGTTCTCCAATAAATTGTTTCTTGAAAGCTCTCCCTGAGCAGCTGGGGATGAGAGCCTGAGCATTTCCTTCACTGAGGGGTCTCTGCTAGTTCGCTTGAGGGTTTATATATACCATTTTTGGGGGAGATTAGCAAGGGAGATGAAAATAGGAGACCTTTTTTTCCCAGCCGCTACTTCCCCTTCCTTCCATGTCAGTGCTGAAGTTCTCCTCCTCCAACTAAGCAGGCAGATCCTGCTTCAGAACCTGCTCCTGGCCTTCCATGAACCTCTTCTTCCTGGAGATGATCCGTGTCTCAGATGTAAGTAATGCATGTTGAACTCCCAACAGTAATTCCTTATTTAGTCACTTGTGTCAGGACCAAAGTAAGGTGACACCAGGGATTCTGACAGGTTCAGAAGCAAATATGGATCCAAAATTAGGCTTTTATTTGGACAGAATGGTATTTACTCTTAAGAATAAAGGCACATGTTTATCTGAACACGAGTGGAGGGCTTCTCTTGTGAGGAGACCAGTGGCCCATTGCAAAGCCCTCCCTGCCTCTTCACATTTGCTGCCTGGGGAGCTGCTCCCTTGGAGCAGTAGCAATGTATTTGCCTCCCTTCGTACAGGGCTGGGTGATGAATATTAAAGTGCTGAAATTAACTTGTTTTCTATGCATTCTACTCTCCTGACAAGAAAATCCCACTACAAACCCCAGCACAGGCAGTGTAACTGCACCGAATTAGACCCTCGCTGTGAGGGGATTATATATTCTGATTGGGGCTGAGTTTGCAATTATTCTCTCTGCCACACCAAAGACCTTTACTGCAGAGCTGCAAACCAGTTATAGGAACATGAAATGCTTTGACTTCTTCACTAGGGAAACATTAATCCAATCACAGGTTATGTCCATTACAGACTATGGCAATATTGTATACAGGAATTCCCAGGAGAAGATTCTACAAAAATTGGAATCTCTCTATAACCATGTTATGAGATTTACTGGTGTGGATAAAATGGGCAGAGTTAAAATTACCAGGCTGGCTATCTCTAAAAGACAGGTGAAGTCTGCTGGCTATCATTGCTTCGCAATATTACAAATGGAAAAGCCCTGAAGTAATTGAATAACACATCTGCTGAAAAAGCCTTGTGAACTGCTATAACCTAAAGATAGACTGCAAGGAAACAATGTAGGTACAGCACACAGTTAAAAGGAAAAAGATGCTTTCCTTACCTGGTGCAGGAAGATATCGCAAATGCAGGTACAGATTCTCTCTTTGCCTCCTAGATTATGTGTGTTTATGTGTGTGTGCTCTATATATTTGTGTGTGTCTGTTCGTGTCTACCTACCTCTTTCTTTGCACATAAAAATAAGTTAAACCAGGTTCCTCAGCAGCCAGAGGAATGGTGCTGGATGGGAATGATACATAATCAGAGCTCACTGTTTCTTTTTCCACTGGAGGCTGCTGAAAACAATTGGCATGGCTGCTAAAGGAGCTAGTTTCCATCCTCTTAACGTCTCTCTGTCCTTGTGCAGAAAAAAGATTTCAAAGCACTTTGCCATAGTTAATGGAGGTTTTTCCTATGCTTTAGCATCGGTATCCAGTGATCTATAACAACAGTTCATCAGCAAAGAGCAAGTACCCTGGCTCCCTGCAAACCCAGGGCTCCATGGAGCTGTGTACGGATGGAGCTGCTGTGGCTGGGGCAGCGCTCACCCGCTCTGGGAGAGGATGGGCACAGCCTGGCCACTGCTCCACACTGCCCTGTGAGTGCAGCCACACCTCCTCCAGGCATGGACACCACAGCCAGAGCAGCAGAGTGACCCACCATCACCTGCCCCTTCTCTGGAGGTGAGTGCACTATGGACTGGGCGCTCCAAGCACGACAGGGGATTTCAGGACAGGTCAGAGCATCTCCTGCTGCTCTGCCTGGGCATGGAGGAGCTCCTCTCATTACTCATGGTCCTCCCCATCTGGTGGCTCTGAGCAGGGATCCAAGAGCAGCTGACATGGATGCACTGCAGCAGCATGGCTGTCAGGGGCTGTCACAGCTGCTCAGTATGGGGAGGTGTGATTTATTTCGCATCTCCTGCACCTCTCCGTGGCAGACCAGCACACATGGAAGGATGAAATGCTTGAGAGTGTGTCTGGAGGAGCTTGAATCCTCCTGTGGAAGGTGAGACTTGGAGCATCAGTCTGATGGGCATGGATATAAAAGGCATTTTTCTTTTTCATTAAGTCTTTCATCAAAAAAGTTCATCATCAAAAATCTTTTAAAGAATCCAAATTTGTGAAGTACAAAAATGCTGCTATTCCAGTAAGGCTTGAAATTTACTGTCTGGAAGCAGTGGGAACAGAAACCAGCCAATTCAAACTGCTCTACACTTCAAACACTACAATTCAAACTACACTACAAACTTCCTTGTGTATCTGAAGGAAGGTTTTATTATCAGCTAGTGTTTGGAAGGAAAGAGTACTTGAGCAGGTTATGCCATTGGGGATGAAGTCTTTCTCACAGCCATAAGGGAGTCAATATCCTACTGTGATTCCCTGTTACATACACAAAATTATCCTGGGTATCAAGAGTCTCCTGTTCATTTTGCATTTTTAGGGTTGTTACCCCTGATACTTCCAACCAAAGCAGCCTGAATAAATGCTGAGGATTTGTACTCTTTTCCCTTTGGTGCCAGGTCAAGGCAGGGAGTTTTTGGGATTGCTTCATGCATGTACTGCTAATATTGATGAGGACTCTTCTATAGCATTTAGGGCCCATTTTAAAGCTGGATTAATACATTTCTAGAGGTGTGATTATTTTAGGCCCTGAGCATTATCCTTGTTGTGTGATGCCCCTTCCAGAGCTGCCATGAGCACTAAATCAGCTGGCTGGTGTTCACCAGTCTGAAGGCTGAGCACAGCCCTGCAGGGAGACAGCGGGCTCTTGGTGGGGATGTTGTTTTCTGGCAAATTCATGTTGTACTTAACACTTAATCATTTCTGTGTCCCCTAAGGCAGATTTCTTTTCCCCCTCAGTCAGTCACAGCCCTGTCACGCTCCCGAAGAGTTTGAGCAGCTGATGCTGAGTCACCAAGTGGAAAACACGCAGGATGTCTGAGGAGGCTTGACTAAGAAGTAGGAAGAAAAGGGTAGAAAAAAGGTGGAGAAGCACAGTTTAAGTTTAGCTGAGGAAACTGGTTTGAGCATAGAGGTGCTCTTCAACATGGGAGTCGAGTCCCCACTCTTGTTCCTTTTTTGGCATGGGTCTCACAGAGCTGTGATTCAGCCTTGAGGGGCTGAACCCTTGGTCTTTTGAGGTGAAGAAGCATTTTGCTTTTTTTAATAAAGCCAGGACTTTACCCTGGAAATCTTGACTGCAACTTTTAGCTCTTCTATGGATCAGATATTGCAAGATTTTGGATAAGGTGAGGAATATTTATCTCTGTGATTCATGTCTGCCATCCAAACCCCCACGATTTTTACCTCATACTAATGTTGCTTTATATATCGTTTTTTCCATGTAAGGAAACACCCATTTCTCACATGATGGCCCAAGACTCAGGCACATGAAGTGAGCTGAAGCAGGACAGAAGTGGGTCACAGAACCTGTAAGGGAAGTGAATTGAGGCTCCATGCCTGAGTCAGAGCAGCCAGTTGAGTGATGGCCATGGGTGCTTGGCTAAATCACCACAGATGGTCCCAAGGCAGTGTTGGCAGAGAATAAACAGTAATTAATAATGACTATTAAATACAGACATTTCATACCTCTCAATCTTGAAACGGGAGAAGGATTTTTGCAAAATTCTTCCTTTTAACTCACACTCCATGTTCAGGACACCCTATTCTTCAACCAAGCTGTCATTCACCATCCTGAAACTTCCCAAGCCTTTCATCTGAGGGTTTCTGCCTGAAATGGCTCTAAACATCAGGGTCCCCAGGTTATCATTTAGTTCTAAGTCCACAAATAATCAGGAAATCTCTGAGATGAGAGCTTGTGTCGAAAGCCACAAAGGAATACCCTAGAAATCCCCATGCCATTTGCTACAATCAGTTCAGGTGTCACCTTTTGGGGTTTATTTTGCTTTTCCAGGATATATTTGATAAAAAAAATCAAGATTTCCTAAGCATCTTCACTCAACTTCATCATAATTTCACTCCTGCATGTTACTGTAGCCCAAAATAAGCCCCAAAAACTAAAAAACTAAAAAAAAAAACCCAAAAAACAAAAAAAAAAAAAAAAACAAAAGCTACTTTATTTAAGTATTGCTGATAGGTCCCAAGATGATACCCTG